TATAATGAAATTCTGATGTATTTAGGACTTACATTACTTTTATTACAAAGTTACAGTAACAGAAACCTGGAAGGCTGAATCAATCAAGTTTCATCTTCATGAAAGGAAGAAAGTCCTTAGGCCTGAGACCCTTCCATTTCTGCCTTGGTTGAGGCTCTTCCTCCTGTTTCCTCTTATAGCCCATTTGGTGCACCACGGAGGTGCACCAGCAAATGGGTAATCTGAGGCACAACTGGAACAGATGCTCACAAAAGAAGATAAAAGGAAAGGAAAAAAAGAGGGAGGGTTGGCTGGATCAATGGGCCAAGGAAGGGAAAGGAAGGAGTGGATCCTGTGCCAGGAGGACCTGGTTGGAGATGAACAAGAAAGAGGCAAAGAGTAGAGCTGCTGCTTCCCTGGGTCTTCTCCTCCAAGACTCCAGATGGAGCTGGGCAGAATCACCAGCAAGAACCAGGAGAGAAGAGGGAAGGAGGGAGGGAGGGAGGGAGGGAGCCAGACAGCCAGCCAGCCAGCCAGCCAGCCAGCCAGACAGACAGACAGACAGACAGACAGACAGACAGACAGACAGACAGACAGAGACAGAGATGGAGACAGAGACAGAGACAGAGAGAGCATGGATGAGTTGAAGTCTCCAAGGCAGGTTGTCAGGACTCTCAAAGGAGCTCTTGGGGCCATCTCAGACCGATCATATTTTAGTGCTTAGCAGGAGCATCAAGGGTTTGAGGTGACCCCAAACCAACCTTATATTTTTTGATACACTGTCTGATTTAGTTGATTATGGGAATTCAGTGGACATTATGTACCTTGACTTCAGCAAAACATTTGAGAAATATCAATGAAATCCTGGTGAAGAAGAAGAAGAAGGCAACCTGTGGCTGGTCTACACTACCATTACATGGGTAGACCCTGTGGAGAGTTCAAATCCTACAAGGGCTTATTAAAAGCTCCAGATGTGATTGAAAGGAAGTGAGGAATTGCAGGGCTCTATTTTAGGCCTTGTGCTGTTTGACATATTTATAATTAAGTTAGTTTAGGAGTCAGAAAACATTGTAATCAGTTTTGGACATGATACGAAATGGGGGAATGTAAAATACTACAGAGGGCAGAATGAAGATTTCAAAGGATCTTTAAAAGCTGGAATAATGGGCAAAAATCAGGATGATTAATTTCAACAGGGATAAATGCAAAGTCCAACATTTGTTTAGAAACTGAATCAAAGGTATTAATGCAGGATGACAGGTAGTATAGAACAGGGGTCCACAACCCCCGGTTTGTGTACCAGTACCGGGCTGTGACATGCCAGGAACAAAAAATAAAGCTTCATCCATGAGATGCAGGCAGCACACAAAACCACGCCCCCTCCGGTCCACAGAAAAAACTCTCTCCTCCGAATCGATCCCTGGTGCCCAAAAGGTTGGGGACCTCTAGTATAGAAAATCCATACAGGATCCTGCCGAAGGAGGTTACTATGGACCCTCTGGGCAGGCAGAAGATACAGGCCAGGTCTTTCTGCATCAGATGAGCAGAGAGGCTTTCAGGGAGACGGGCAAGAGTAATAAGGGGGGGGGGCAATTATCCGGGCATCCTGGTCCTCCCTTGCTGACAACCTCATTTAATGGAAGAAAGAGCAAGAGGAAATGCTATCCTGGACTTAACCGAGAATCCCAGGCCGAGTTCAGCACCTCGGAGCTCCCTCTGGACCTTCTCAGGGCGGTCTCTGCTGCCCTCCCCAGGCTGCCCTCCTTTCCCCAAATCTTTACAGAGCTGCTGTGGGGGGCGGGGCAGGGCTGGTCCTTGCGAGCCTCCTCATTCCTGTGGGTGCCGTCTGTGCCCCAGCAGGGGCTGAATTCGGAAGGAGCCAGGCGGGGATCCCGGGTTCCGGCGACTGGAAGAGAGGCTGGAGGAGCGGAGCAGTAACGCCGGAACCCAGTTGGCGGCTGCTATGCCAATAAAACAAGGCTTCTGTTGCCCTGGAAAGGTTTCCTCCCCCTTCCGGGGAATCCAGGCCTCCAGGCCGCGGCTGCTCTTCTGCTCGACGAATCCCACGAAGGTACAGTGTGGGGCGGGGTTAAAACGCGTGGTCAACTTCCACCCCCAGCTGTTTCAGTCTCCCTTGCGCCCCCTCCCGGCCCGACAATTCACCATGCCCTCTTCGCCATATTCGCAGGAAAAAGCACTTCGGGGCGACGGGAAAGAAATTGTCCCGCAGGCCGGCAGATCTCGGGCAAGGCGGCTTTGACGTTCGCACCACAAGGCGCGAAACTCAGCGGCAGAAAGCCTACCGGTGGGCTTTGCACGATCTGCTGGACGTACAGCACCCAGACGGAGGGGGTTCCCTCGATTCCCCCCGTGGGAGAGCCCGGCTGCCCAGGGATCCTTGGCCAGGCACGCGTGATCCGTCTTGGCCTCTGCCGAGCCCTCCCAACACCCTTGCCCGGGCCACGCGGCCCGCCCGATCGCCTCTCCTGCTTGCACCCAGCAGAGTCAGCATGGAAGCAAACCCGCGGAAGCGTCGGCCTCAATGCCTTCGACGTTGTCCTCTCAGTCCTGGGAGGCGGCGGCTGCGGAAGCGGAGGAGGAGACGGAGGAGGAGGTGAGTAAGAATGCCCGTGTTGGGTCAGAGGCGGTGGGGTGCCCGAGAAGAAATGCCCCCCCCCCGCCCCTCTTGCTGCCCAAGTGCTGCTCAGCGCTCGCAGCAGGACCAGCGATTTCGCAGAAGCGTCCGCCCCTCGGACGGGGATCCTGCCCCTCCCAGCCGCTGGGGGTGGTGGAGGGAGGCGGCAGCTGAAAGGGGGGGAAGCCGGTGCGAGCGGGGCTTTATAAGGGGCGTCCCTCCTGGGGCTGGCACGTCTAGATTCCTGAAGACAACCATGGCGATTTGCCTGGCAGCTCTGGGGCTCCTCGCTTTCCTGCTCGGCTGTCCCGGAACCTTTGCCGATCCACAAAACTCGGAGCGAGCCGCCAAGGTGAGATGCGGGGTGACGGGCGGAGGGCTCCAGCCTCCCCCGTGAAAAGCCCCCCCCCCCCGGCCACCAGCCTCTGCTCGGGTGGCCGACAGGAGCAGCTGGTGGGAGCCGGCGGGCTGCGCAGAAGTGGCGCTTCCTCGGGGTTGATCGCACCCGGTGCCTCGCTCTAAGAGGCCCTCGATCTCCGACGGCCGGCCGGCCGGCCGAGCGTGTGCACCTCCGTGCTCGGCCGCGACTTCGGCAGCCTGCCGCCCGTGTTGTCCTCTCGCTCGCTGCGCAGATGGCAGAGCGATCTGCCCTCGGGGTGTCGTCCCGGACGCGGTCTGGCAGGTGCCTCGACCGACGGACTTTGGGATGCGCCCCCTTTGCCAGCCCCACGCGGCGTTGGGAGCCCAGGGAATCGGGCACGTGGGAGCAACGGGTGTTTTCAGATCTCACGGAGAAAATGGAGGCAGAGTCTCTACCTGTTGGCCAGCTGGGCTTGGCTAGCGCCGTGAGCCGCTTTCCTCCCCCCCTCCCGCTCTCCTTTAGTGCTCCCTGTGCGGCAGATGGGTGAATGACCTCGGCTCCATCATGGAGATCTACAGCGTCAGTGACATGGGGGTGTTCAGCGGCCTCTACAAAACGGCAGTCTCGGGCTCCGGCAAGCCCGTCCCTCCATCCCCGCTGCAGGGCATCCAGCACCAGGGGTCCCAGCCCACCTTTGGCTTCACCGTCAGCTGGATACTCATTGGTAGAGCCACTCACTATTTGGTGTGGAAGCAAATAGAAGGGGAGGAGGGAATCTAGTGGATCGCCCCTTCCTTAGATCTGCCTCTTGCAGATTCTTTCACTGAATGTCCTCCCACCTTCCCCCCCCATCAGATGGAGATGCCCAAATATTTTGGAGCCTATAAAACATTCCCAATCTCAAGGTAGCATCGGTGAGCGGGGGGGGGGGTGTCTTTATGCGAACAACTTTGATACAACAACTTTGATCTGACAGAATCCACCTCAGTCTTTGTGGGCCAGTGTCTGGTGGATGACAACGGAGAAGAGCACTTGAGCACAACCTGGCTGTTGCGTGAGAAGGTTGGATCCGAGGCAAAGGATTGGGGGGCGACCCGGTAAGGAAATGCAGGGACTGAACTGCTGCGCCCCCTAACTGGATGGGTCCTGGGTACCACTTCTTTTTCTCTCTCTTCCCTCTCCCCCCCAAAGGGGCTCTTGAAAGGGCGCCCCAATGGTTGGCCTCTCTCGGGGCAGCTCCTGCAGGAGAGGCTGGCATTGTGAGTCTAGGAGACTCTGTCTCTGCCACTTCCCCCACAAAGAAAGGCAGCAAAGCTTTTGAGGAGCTTCCCCAGGTCCTTCTCACTGACAAGTGTGGTTTGGGTGGCACCACAGTCTGGGTTGCCCACAGCAGGCAACACCTGGAGAGTTGCTATTAATTGCTCTACTGAAATCAGAGAACAGTAGCCCAGCACAGCCCCATATTTGTAGGGGGCAAAGAGGCCACCTGGGTGCCTTCCTGGAGCGCAAGGCTTGCAGCTCTGCTGCTCCCCTCCAAAGAGGCTGCCTTTATGGCCACCTGGATTGAGCTACTTCAAGGGAGGCCCCCCTAAAGGCCGAGGATGCATGGGTGGGGACCTACCCGGCCCTTGCCGCCCCTGAGAACCAGTGACATCCATTTCCTTTGCCCTCCCTTTTCATTCTCACGTGAGTGGGTGGGAGGAGGGAATGGGGTGTGGGGTGGGATGCTCAGCCTGGGGGGGGGGAGACATCAATCATGCCACCATGAATTTTGACATTTCCCTTCCTCCTGTTTCACTGTAGGGTTGGCCCAAACTTCTTCTACCGCATAAAGTGATGGTGAACAGAGCAAGGCTTCCCCTTTTCTGCCTTTTCGGGGGGAATGGGGGGGTGACCCTTCCCACCTCTCCCATCAGATGCTCTTCTCCAATAAAATGTTTCCCTGAGCAACCTCGGCCTCCCTGGTCTTTCGGAAGCTCCCTGGGTGCCAGTCTGCAGGTTTCCAGGAGAGGCTGGATAGGACCCTCATCTGGAGGGGGAGCTCAAAGCTAGCTCTGGGGTAGAGTCTCTTTACACAGTCTTTGCCCTTGAAGACTTTGGGAATCTGGAGCTAATCCACTGAGGATCTGACCTATTAATTTATTAGGAAATTATTATAGGCTTTTTGCAAGTGAGCCATGAATTAGCTTCACCCAGAGCTGGTCCATCCTAATCACATGGCCATAGCTTTGCTTGATAAGAGTCATTGTTAGAACCAGCAATTAGCTAGAACCTATTTCGACACTTGTGGTTGGCCACAACCGGTTCAGTTATAAAAATTGGATTTGCAATCAAGAATTTTGCAAGTGGGGCCATTAGAGGAAGAAGAAAAAGTATCGTGGCATTTTGCTTAAAGGTCCAGAGGCAAAAATCTCCACCTTAGCATGTCAAAAATCAACCCCAGAATTGAGGGCTTATTTTATTTTAATACCTTTTTATGCCACCCATCTCACTAATAAAGCAACTCTGGGTTGCTTACAATGTAATAAAAGTTTAAAAAGTGCTAAAACCAACTGAAACTACAATAGAAAGATTAAAAGTTAAGAACCCAAGGTGATGGACAGCCTGGGGGCAAGAATCTTCTCTACCCCATGAGACACAGCCAACGTACCCTATCCGGTCAGGCCCCCAGGCTGAGTGGCTGAGCCAGGTTTTCAGGCTCTTCCAGAAGACCAGGTTTGTGTGTATGTGTGTGTGTGGGGGAGAAATCTGACCTCTGGTGGTAGGATATTCTGGGGGTGGGGGACAGCAGAAAAGGCTCTTCTCCTGGAGCCCAGCAGCAGAAATTCTTTGGCCAGTGGGATCCAAATTAGGCTGCTTCCATGGAAGGAGAGGGGCCAGCTAGCCCCATTGGGGTGAGGCAGTTCCTCAGATACCCTAGAGCTTCACTCAGTGTACCCCCCATGCTTATTATGGGATGTTACCCAGCTGCATCTCTGTTCAGCAGATCAGGAACAGGTGATGAAATCTCAGGAAATTCTGATATGTTTAGGACTTACATTACTTTTATTACAAAGTTACAGCAACAGAATCTTGCAAGGCTGAATCCAACTCTGTTGCGTTCAGGGTTCAGGCTTCAACTCTTAGAGCCCCGTAACAGGGGTGAGAATTTTAGAGGGACCCTCGCAAGGGTGATCACCTTGAGTAGGGAAAGATTTTTCCCTTTGCCACCGACCCAGTGTGCCGGACGATCAACGGTCACAGTAGGGAAATGCGATGGCGTATGAACAGGACAAACTGAGGCACCAACACGAGTCTATTCAAGGTGAGAGAGCACAAGTGCTGGGGTGGATGGTACTGCCCATCTTACCAGCTTTGCGAAGCTCTCCTTTATTTGGTAGTTTCATCAGGGCGGGGGAAGTATGCATGAGGGAACAACATATGGGAAAACATAGCACACAACTGCTAACGAAAAGAGCAAAGGTCATTACAGGAAACAATAAAGTATAGCTTATCTTACACAAATGCTAATCAGAGAAAACAGAAAGGCATCTTTTGAACATCACAGGGAATAATAAAACATAGCTTATCATATACAAAGAAAACAGGAGTTTTCACAGGAAGGCATTTCTTAACATCACAAGGATCAATAAAGCACAAAGATATCACATGAAGGTCTTACTTAAAAGACTTTTGACAGTTACATGATACAGAGGTAAAGATAATTACAGGAGGCAAATGTTTTATTAAAGGAATGCAAGTTTTACAATGGGGCAAGCAGGAAGAGGTTTATCAAGCAGGGAATGCAGGATGCTATTTGTAAATGAAGCAGGCTGAGAAATGTTATCACTAAAGCCCGGATCAAACAGAGGAATTTGACAACAGGCTGTGAACTTTGCATCTGGGGGTGAAGGCAGAATACAGGCTCTACAGCATGAGACAGAATCTATCAGGAAGGCAAGGTTTTGAATCAAATAGATGTTTTGTAATTTTTGATATAAGAATCTTTTGGGAGTCTGGGATAATTACACAACTCCTTCTCTTCATCTTCCTGAAAGGAAAGAAAGTCCTTAGGTCTGAGACCCTTCCTCAAATTTCATTTCTACCTTGGACACCTTGGCTCCATTTTCTCCGGGAGATCTGAAAACACCCGCTGCTCCCGTGTGCCCGACCTCCGGGGCTGCCCACGCTGGTTGGGGCCGGAAAGGCAGCCGATCCCAAAGTCCGTCGGTCGAGGCACCTGCCAGACCGCGTCCGGGACGACACCCCGCGGGCGGATTGCTCTGCCATCTGCGCAGCGAGGGAGAGCACCAGCCCCGGCGGCAGGCTGCCGAAGTCGCGGCCGAGTACGGAGGAGGAAACGCTGGGTGTCTGTCCGTCGGGGACCCAGGGCCTCTGGCGCTCAGCGCGAGAGCACCGGGTGCGGTCAACCCCGAGGAAGCGGCACCCTCTGCCCAGCCCGCCGTTTCCACCAGATGTTCCTGCCGCCCACCCGAGCAGAGGTTGGTGTGTGTGTGTGAGGGGTTTCCACACGGGCGGCTGGGACCCTCCGCCTCCCACCCCGCATCTGACCTGGGCGGCTGGCTCCGAGTTTTGGGGTTCGGCAAAGGTTCCCGAGCAGCCGAGCAGGAAAGCGAGGAGCCCCAGAGCTGCCAGGCCAATCGCCATGGTGGTCTCCAGGAATCTAGACGTGCCAGCCCCAGGCGGGACGCCCCTTATAAAGCCCCGCTCGCACCGGCTCCCCCCACCCCGAGTTGCCGCCTCCTCCCACCCCCCACAGCTGGGAGGGGCAGGATCCCCGCCCGAGGGGCGGACGCCTCTGAGAAATCGCTGGTTCTGCTGCGAGCGCTGAGCAGCACTTCGGCAGCAAGAGGGGCGGAGGGGGCACTTCTCGGGAACCCCACCGCCGCCGACCCAAGACAGGCATTCTTTCTTGGCTGGCTCTCCGCCAGCACTCCTCTCCCGTCACTGGTCCGCCAGCGCTCCAACCCCGCCCCTTCCTCCCGGGCGTTTCACGGAGGGACACTTTTCTAGGATTATTTGGCTGCGTGGGACATTTAAACTCTCATCCGGGCAGCCAATCCCCACGCCAAGGAGTGGGGAGCCTGGGGCACAGGATGCAGGGGAGCTTGCTTTGATGTACTCGTAAGGAGAGGAGAAAAAAGCAGTGGGGGCGGGCGGGTCAGGGTCCAGCCTTTCAGAAGGCTACCACTCCTGCCCACATAATGGCATGGTTAATAACAATCTGATCAGGCTTCAATGCATGGCTGCACGCACACACTCACACTTCCTCCAGGTGCCTTTGAAGAGAAAGGGAGAGAAGGGAGAGAAAGCGTGTGTGTGTGTGTGTGAGAGAGAGAGAGAGAGAGCGAGAGAGCTAGAGAGCGAGAGAGCGCTCCCCTTTTTGTAAGTTTGCTTGCTCCATCTGCGAGGCACTTTTCCTGGCCAGCACTTCGCCTCCCTCCTCTTCCTCTTCCTCTTCCCTCCTGGCTCGCTCTTGCTCTCTCTCTCTCTTTCTCAAGCACACACTCACACAAACAAAACCGTCCCTGCTTTCTCCCCCTTCCCCCCCTTCCCCTCCAGGGACACCTGGATGGAGTGGGAGGAGATTCAAAAAAAGAGACGGGGAGAAGGGGGAAGCGCGCCTGTGTCCTTTCACTTTCGGGACGACCCCGCCCTCCCTCGCCCTTTCGCCCAACCTGTCACAGGACTAGACTCAAAGTTCTCGCTTCTTCATCACGGGGCAAAATACTTGCTTTTCCTCACCTATTGCACTGCCGAGGTGTTTGGGGTACGGAGGCCTTAGAGTCTTCGCTTGTGTTTCCTTGTGTGTAAATTACCTGTGGGGCTGTTGAGAGAGCCTGTTTGGAGGGGGAGGGGTTAGGGTCTAACCCTTCACTCAAAACTAGCTGGTTGCAGATTCTCCCCTGAAATACGGAATTGGGAATCAGCAGCCATTGTTTCAGCATTGCTGTTTCTCATTAATATTGGGAAGTAAATATTGGCCCGACCAACCGGATATTTTTGACACACTGTCTGTTTTAGTTGATTATGGGAATGCAGTGGACACAATGAAGGTTGACTTCAGCAAAACATTTGACAAATATCCACTGCCGAG